CGGCCCCGGCCTCGGCGGAGCGGCTTCGCTGTCATGGCACCACATAGCCCCCCGAGGTGCCAGTCCCCGTCCCGGGTTGGCTGGAGCACCACGCTTGGGTTGCCCCCACGAGGTAGCGCCGTGGGGTCCGCGGGACTCGTCCAGCCCTTGTGGCTGGCCTCGAGGGTGGTGGCTCCGTCTCCCGGGGTTCCGGCGGCGGTCTCCTCCTCCACTCCAACGGTCCTCCTCGGCCCTCGGTACCTGCGGGCTAGGGAACAAAGTCAGAGGCGGTTGGGTTTAAGGGTCGTCGTCCTTGTTCCGCCCGACCCGGGTCGGGAGCCCTCGAGGCCCGGGGCTCCGTGGGGCCCATATACAGTGTGAGGCCCCCGGGTATGGAGGGTGTGGGGACCCCGGGGTTTCGGGGCACTCGAACGGCGGGGTTCCCCCCCGCTGGAGCTGCTCGCCATGGTTTTAGTCTGCGGATGTTGACCACCATCTCCCGGCCCTTCTCTCCTCCCCGAATCAGCACCGTGCAGGGGGAGATCTGCCGTCCCACGGTCCAGGGCCCTCGCCAGTAGGTGGTCAGTTTCCCCACCTGTCCGGCCCCGACGCGAGGAGTGTACAGCCATACTTTTGAGCCCGCCGAGTAGAAGGGGGGTTCCATACGGGGTCGGGCGCTCTGCTCTTGCCGCTGGTGCGCGGCCTCTCCTTGCGGGTAGGCACGGCCCCGGGCCCCTCGCAGAGTCTCCATCAGGTGTTCCACGGGGCGGCTCCCCTCCTCCCGTTGCGGTGGGGGAACGTCGAACAATAGATCTGCGGGAAGGCGAGACTCACGACCAAACATCATTAGGAACGGGGTCTGTCCCGTAGCTGTGTTTACCGTGGTGGCATAGGCGAACAGGGCATAGGAGAGGTATTTGTCCCAGTCCTGTTGATTGGCGGCCGCCATGCGTTTGAGCTTCCCGGCTAGAGTCTGGTTCATCTGCTCCACCATACCGTTCGCCTGGGGGTGGTATGCCGTGGTTCGGTCCTTCTGGATTCCGAACTCGTGGCACAGCGCCTGGAATAGCTCCGCCTCGAACTCACTACCCTGGTCAGTAATGACTCGTTCGGGGATCCCCTGTTTAAGCACGTAGTGTTCCACAAACGCCCGGGCGACCACAAGGGCCATTTTATCTGGGATGGCCACCGCCACGGGGTAGCGCGTGAAATACTCCACTGCCACAAGGATGTACCGGTTGCCTCGGTGGGATCGTGGGAATGGTCCCTGTAGGTCGATTCCCACCAGCTGGTTCGTCCGACTGACACGGAACGGCCTCAGGGGTACCTGGTACCGCGCCGGTTTCTGCCCACACTGCTGACAGGCCCGGCAGCCCTGTACCCAGGCGGCCACATCTTGCGCCAATTTAGGCCAGAGATACTGGCGACGCAGAGTCTCTCGAGTGCGTCGTTTTCCCATCATGGCCCCCGAGCGGGTGGTCGTGCACCAGCCGTAGCAGCTGGGGCCACACCTGCCCAGTTTCGGTTTGTTCCCTCACCACTTCGTTCTCTACACACAACCGGGCATACAAACCGCTCCAGGGTCCTGGTAGAGCGACCCTTTTCTCCCGCAGGGCCGCCTCCACCGTCGCCAGGTCCGGATCCCGCTGCTGGGTCTGTCTCAGCTGCTCGTCGCGTCGAGGCCTGGGAACGCACAGCCGACGTCCTCTTGGATCCGATCGGGCAGGGTTGAGCGGCCCGTCGGGCCCTGGGGTGTGGGCTCCATGACCGGCGGGTGGTCAACCGGGCCCCTGGCTCCTCCTGCCGGGGTCACTGTGGCACATACCGCACTCTCTCTCATCGGATGGGGGTTAGTCTCGGCGTGCTCCTGGCGGCCCGCCACCTGGCGGCAACGTCCCCCCGTGAAGCACGGGCAAGCTTCCTCCGTCCTCGTCTCGGCGCACACTGCGGGCCGCCTCGACAAGGCGTCCGCGTTTGCGTGCGTCCGCCCCGCTCGGTACTCGATTTGCAGGTTGTACTCCTGCAACTGCGCCAACCATCGGGCCATCTGCCCCCGCGGTTCCTGGAACGTAAGGAGGAACTGCAGGGCGTAATGGTCAGTGCGTACCCGACATTTCCTGCCGTACAAATACGGTCGGAACTGTTTACACGCGAAGATCACGGCATACAGTGCTTGACGGGTCACGCAATAGTTCAGCTCGGCCCCGCTCGGGGTCCGACTGGCGTATGCGATGACCCGCTCCGTCCCACCCTGCACTTGTGACAGCACCGCGCCCAGCCCACTGCTGCAGGCGTCGGTGTCCACAATAAAATCAGTGGTGAAATCGGGGAAAGCCAGGGTGGGGGTGTGGGTGAGGTGGTCTTTGAGGGTGGTGAAGGCCGTCTTGGCAGGCCTCCGTCCACTGATAGGGGTTCTTAGGGGATGTGAGTTGGGTGAGGGGGCGTGCAATCTCGCTGAAGCCCTTCACGAATCGACGGTAATAGGTGGCGAGCCCCAAGAATGATCTGATCTCCGTCAGGTTCCTTGGCCGTGGTCATTCCACTACGGCGTGTACCTTCTCTGGATCGGTGCGCACCCCTGCCTTGCTGACACGGTGTCCGAGGTACCCCACCTCGCGCTGTGCAATGTAACACTTACGCGGCTTGAGCTTGAGATGGGCTGCTCGCAATCGTTGGAACACCTCTCGCAGCCTGGACCAGTGCTCAGACAGAGACCTACTGAACACTATCTCGTCGTCCAGGTAAATCAGGCACTGTTCCCACTGCAAGCCCCGCATCACCAACTCCATCAACCGCTGGAACGTCGCGGGCGCGTTAGTGAGTCCGAACGGAAGCACCCGAAACTCAAACAGACCCATTGGGGTGGTAAATGCGGTTTTTGGCCGATCTTCCTCTGCCATCTCCACCTGCCAGTACCCGGACGCCAGATCGAGGGTGGAAAAATACCGTGCTCCTGCGAGGCTGTCAATGGTGTCATCGATGCGTGGTATGGGGAAGGTATCGCCGAGGGTGACTGCATTCAACTTTCGGTAATCAACACAGAATCGGGTCGACCCATCCTTTTTCGTCACTAGTACCACCGGCGCAGACCAGGGGCTCGCTGAGGGCTGGATTATGTTATCACGTAGCATCCGTGACTGCCTCTTTGATCTGGGCCCGTTCAGGCGCGCCCACTCGGTATGCGGGGAGTTTGATGGGTCGGGCTGCACCTGTGTCAATTTGGTGCTTAACAAGGTCTGTCCGGCCCACATCTGAATCGTGCTCACTCATAGTTAATTCATAGTTCATTTATTTGGTATAGCCCTGTGAGCCATTCGGCTCTTGAATCGGGTGCAACCGCAACAAACAAAAAACATGAACAAGAAAACATCTTAAAGTGATTATGTGACTGTGCAAACAGAAAATACAGGAAAAAAATATCAAAATATTCCTGAAATAGCACCGTACACCAACGCTGTGTGCAAAAATCCCAGTGGGATGCAAGTCAAATAACAACAACAACAACCACAAGACAACTAAGATTAAAGCCATCAGTCTAACTCCGTACTACAATAAACAAAAACATGGCCAAAACAAAAAAAAACTTTTCGAAATCACCAAAATAAAAGCCATAAATCCAATGTAACAGTGATCATAGGGACTGTCACCGAATTTTTAACAATAAACTACATAAATAAATTATAACACCAAAATCTAGAGCCATATTTTAGGCCACTGAATAGCAGTGGCAGCTAGGGTTGTACAACTCCTCCAGAGCAGTTTTGAGTGAAGATCTCATAGGTAGTGATTCAAGTTGCAGTTTATTGGCAATAGCATTCCAGACCCTGGGGGCATCAATAGCAAAGGCCCTTCCTCCAGTTTTTGTACGGCAATAGGGAATGTGAAGCTGGTAAATGAGCGAAGACCTGAGGTCAAATTTGTTCTTTGAAACAGAGAGGAGATCCAGTAGGTAGTCTGCGGAATTTTTTGTAAGTACATCGTGAATAAATAAGATCTGGTGCACAAGCCGTCGAACATTAAGAGATGTTAAGTTTGACCCAATGTAGAGATCACAGTGGTGAGTCGTATATGGACAGTTCAATGCAAATCTTAAGGCCGAGTGATAGATGGAATCAAGCTTCTTCAGTACAGTACTTGGGGCTGATTTATACACGATGTCACAGTAGTCAAGTAGAGGCAGTATGGTAGCTTTTATCAATTCCAAACGGAACATTGGGGGGAAGCAATTTTTATTTTTGTCTTTATTTTGTCTTTATTTTTGTCTTTTTACCAATATAATCAATGTGATCTTCAAAACTAAGTTTTGAATCCAGGATGACCCCAAGATACTTATAGATCTTGACTTGCTCTATTTGATAATTATTCAAGGAATGTAATTGGGGAAAAATAACTTCCTGCTTTAGTCCCGGAGAGAAGCATAGCACCTTGGTTTTGGAGGTATTCAGGACTAGTTTAAGAGAAACTAGCTGATGTTGTAGTTTGTTGAGATCACCCTGGAGCTTAGCAATCACGTCATCTGGAGAGCGGCCAGCAGTAATCAGTATCGTGTCATCTGCAAAAAGATTTACCCTGGAATGATCCAGTTCAGTGCCCAAGTCATTGACATAAAGAGAGAACAAGAGGGGGCCGAGGATGGAACCCTGTGGAACCCCTTTTGTTATCTTAACACTGTTTGACCTCCAACCATCTGTGAATACAGTTTGGGTGCGAGAAAAGAGGTAATTTTTTAACCATTGTACTGCAGGGTGTTGTGGTCAACTGTATCAAAAGCTTTGGACAGGTCAAGAAAAAGACAGGCACAGTACTGCTTATTATCAAGGCTATTGTAAATTTGATTCAAAGAGTCTAATGCAGCAGATGTGGTGCTGTATTTTTTTCCAGAACCCAGATTGTTTTAGATGTAGTAGATTGTTGGTGGACAGGAAACTGCTAATTTGGTAGTTCAATAATTTTTCAAAATTTTTCATCAATGGGGACAAAATTGAGATAGGTCGGTAGTTATTGGGATCATCTTTAGGGCCCCCTTTGTGAAGTGGACGGACATAGGAATGTTTCCATTCACTGAACACGTCGGCGTACTCCTGAAATAACCCGCGCAGCTGATCGGCCTCCCCCTAAGGTAAATCTGCCCAAGGCACATGGAACACATCACGCAAGGGGACGACCTCGGCTCGGGGAGTCGGGCCGACTCACCAGGCCAGGTCCTGGTTGTCCTCGGGGCGACCAGGGTCCTCCGCCCAGAGTGCAAACACCGAGTCGTTAGAGTGGCGCGCGTGCAGGGGGTGTATGGTAGCTACCGTGGTGCGTCGTCGTAGCATTGCCGGGGTACTGTGTGGGTTAAACACCCGCATAAACAGTCGGTCCTCATCTGCGTTTACCAGTGTGGCGGATCCCACCACCCCGTACCGCGTCGCCAACTCCGGGTGAGGAGTAAGCATTACCTCGCCCGATGGTCTGTGTGCGGGGTCGGTGGAGGGTGTTGCCACGGGCACCAGCATCTCGGCGAGCGGGCTGATGGTGACGGCCGACACCAGAGTAGCGGCCACGGGTGTGAAGCGAGGGCGATTCGGCTCTTGTCCTAGGAACGGAATCCGCTCTCCGCTGCTTTCCACCGTGGCGCATCGCTGGCGGGGCTGCACGTTGAGCCCCAGTTTCTCCAGGAGGTCCGTACCTGCAATACACTCATGGCACAACACACTCGAGACGTAGAATTCCTGGGTGCACGCCTGGTGCCCGAGACGGACCTCGAGGGAGACTCTTCCCAGCAACCCCATCCCGGCTCCACTCGCTGTGTGCAGCGCGCGATCCGGGGCCTGTAGGCGGCCCACGTCCACCCCAAACCTGCTGCAGTGCGTGGTGCTTACGAGTGAGGCCACCGCCCCCGTGTCCAGTAGAATCCGGGTGCGCTGCCCGTTCACCTGTCCTTCTACCAGCGACGTGGCCCCCGTGATTCCCGCCACCAGCTCCCGTAGCCAGTCGCCCGTCCTCACCGTGTTCTTGGGTGTTTTGGTCGGAATCTGTATGGAGGTCACTCGCTCCCCGTTATTACTACAGTTTATTTGTGTTGGGACCATGTCGACTGTCCCCCTCGGTGGTCCCCTCTCTGGGGAAGCCTTGGCGTTTAATCCTGGCGCCTGTATAGCGCGGGCGATCTGCGGATAGTCTCTCACGAGGTGCCCTCGGCGGTTGCACAGGTAACACGCCCGCGGGGCGGCCCCGTAGGAGCCCCCCCGCCTGTTCCCTATTCCCCCCCTAGCATGCCGCTGCCCAGACTCTGCCTCTAGTCAGGCCACTCTCCCAGTTAGCCCTCCTACCTCGGCCTGGACCGTCTCTACCATAGTCTGCAGCGCAGTCATATGTGCCCTACTTGGGTTACCTTGTTGTCCACTTGGGTTATTCTTTCACCTACTTGGGTTACCTTGTTGTCGATCCCCCCGATGTATCCCCGCTACCCAGCCCGGGGTTGTCTCCCGGGGCCCTGGAGGTTCCCTTGCCCGACCCCTTGCTGTGTTGGCGCGCTCCTCTTCATCCTCCCCCTTCTCCTCTGGAAGCAAGCTCGCGATGGCGCGCTCTCGTCCCAGCCCTCGGAGCTGCGCGCGCTCACTAGCAATTCTTTCACATTTACGCACACGCTCGACCAGGGCGTTAAAGGGGAGACGTGTACAGCTCATATCGGGATGCCACCACGAGGTGCGAGCCAAGTACCGCTGGATCTTCTCGGCGGCAAGCTCCTCAATCACCTCAGTGGTGTACCCCGGGCGTGCGATCTTTGTTAGCTCGCGCACATCCTCGGCGTAGTCACGCAAGTCCTCGCCGGGTTGGCGCCGGCGTGCCTCTAAGGCCGCCTTTGCCTCGTCATTACTCGTGCCGAAACGCAGGTCAAGTTGGTGTATCAATTCTGCTAGCTGGGTTTGTGTGCTCGCGGGTAGAGCTTCTGCGAAGTCAGCCGCCCGTCCATCTAAGTGTATTGTGAGTTGCTCTAACGCCTGCGCGTCTGTCCAACCATTACTACTGCGGTGCATTATGGGTAGGGCCGTTAAACTCGCGGTGCATTATGGGTAGGGCCGTTAAACTCGCGGTGCATTATGGGTAGGGCCGTTAAACTCGCGGTGCATTATGGGTAGGGCCGTTAAACTCGCGGTGCATTATGGGTAGGGCCGTTAAACTTGCGGTGCATTATGGTGGGGCCCGTTAAACTCGCGGTGCATTATGGGTAGGGCCGTTAAACTTGCGGTGCATTATGGGTGGGCCCGTTAAACTCGTGGTGCATTATGGGTAGGGCCGTTAAACTGGCGGTGCATTATGGGGGGTGGGACCGTTAAACTCGCGGTGCATTATGGGTGGGGCCGTCAAACTCGCGGTGCATTATGGTGGGGCCCGTTAAACTCGCGGTGCATTATGGGTAGGGCCGTTAAACTTGCGGTGCATTATGGGTGGGCCCGTTAAACTCGCGGTGCATTATGGGTAGGGCCGTTAAACTGGCGGTGCATTATGGGTGGGGCCGTTGAACTCGCGGTGCATTATGGGTGGGGCCGTTAAACTCGCGGTGCATTATGGGTAGGGCCGTTGACCTGCGCCGCCTCGCTCCCCACCTGCCCCGCCAGTCCGTGTGTGTTAATGTGGGGGGTGGTGGGGAGAGCGCTGTGACGTGAGCCGGGTGACTTCCCCGCTGCAGCACCGTCAGCACAGCGGCGGCCTCGGCGGAGCGGCTCCGCTGTCGTGCCACCACAACTGCAGGCATTCATATTCTTGGTTCTTTCGGTAAAGTCACCACGTAGAAGGGTAAACAATAAAAATATAAAACAATACAATTATAATACATTATTAATATGCCATCCATGAATTTATTTAAATTGCTTGAAAGGAGGCATTTATTTGATGCCGATTTTAATACAGGCATGCATTGTCACCGAATCTGAGTACGTGTGCACAATTTGGAATGGATTGGACAAAAGGAAGTAGACTAACTTTTGATTATAAGGTTTGACTACGACAGCTTTCAAGTCAAGTAAAACCATATTCTTGGTTCTTTCGTTAAAGTCACGTAGAAGGGAAACAATAAAATAATGAAAATATAAAAAAAGATAATTGTATTGTTTTATATATTTTTTTATTATTGTTTCCCTTCTACGTGACTTTACCGAAAGAACCAAGAATATATATACCTTTCCTGGTGTTTTTATTTATTTGGAAGTGTCTTAATTCCGGTCGGTGGGCGACACATTTTATAAACACCGAACTCATGCGTTGTCATAGAGCATCAAGGTTACAACAGTACAGCATATGTGCAGTGTACTGCAAGCAGAAATAAGTTAGTCTACATAAAAAAAAAACTCCTTTAAAAAAGTAAAAAACTCGAATGGACAACGTGAAGTGGACAACATCTTGAGTAAAGAGACACGTGGCGCCTGCATCTTGGGCGAGGCGATTCCACAGAATAGGGACCGCGGCGTTTTTCACCTACACAAAAAATATATTATTAATATGCCGTCCATGAATGTATTCAAATTGCTTGAAAGGAGGCAATTAATTCATAATAAAGGTTTTTGGGTTTGATCGATCTAACCCAAAAACCTTTATTATGAATATTGGTCGCGAAAGCCTACGTGTTAAACAAGGCAATTAATTGATGCCGATTTTAATACAGGCATGCATTGTCACCGAATCTTTGAGTACGTGTGCAAAATTTGGAATGGATTGGACAACAGGAAGTAGACTAACTTTTGATTATAAAGTTTGACTACGACAGCTTTCAAGTCAAGTAAAACCATATTCTTGGTTCTTTCGGTAAAGTCACGTGGAAGGGAAACAATAAAATAATAAAAATATAAAATAAAATTATCCACGAGGTTTCGACTGCAACACAAACAATCATTATTATTGTTTCCCTTCTACGTGACTTTACCGAAAGAACCAAGAATATGAATCCCTGCAGTCACGAAAGCTTTAAATCAAAATTTAAGTAAAACCTTTGAAAAAATAACCATCTGCCTCGGCTTTCGCCAATACCCAAAATTGCGTGAATTTAATTACACCGGGCACACGTTCAGGTTTGAGGGTCTTACCTCAGAGCGTTTTGAATACTGGAATCCGGAGGAAAAAAATTGTAACAATTGAATCCAAGCGCGTGTGTAGAGGAATGTTCACACGCAACGCATGTTTAGTCACGTGACCCCCACCCCCTCCGCAAGCCACGTGACCCCTCAAAATAACCGAAACGGGCAAAGGCCTCAGCGCGCGCATGCGCAGTGCGGCTCCGAGTCGGTCGGCGGAGGGATATAGTTCTGCGCGAAGCGCCTCCGCTCCTATTTATCCTCCATTATCCGACACCGCGGCTAGGTTCGGGTGGGTCCTGAAGGGCCCTAGACCCCCAGCATCCCCCCCCCCCCCCCCCGAATTAATGCTAAAGTATTGTGTACCTCGCATATAGACGGCCCCCTACCCAGGAGTCGCCGCCGTCGAGGCCAATAATTCCCCGAAGAAGCTGCGGTGCCCCTCGGAGGGGGGATTAATTCTCTCGCGCGGACGGACTCGGTAGCGCCGAGTGGCGGTGAGTGGGCGCATCTATCACGTAGGCGGCGTGAGCTTCCTTTCGTCTTCTTTAACGTTCATCGTTTGACACGTTTTAGTTTTAACCCCGTCGTTTGAATCGGAGCTTGAGGACGCGAGTCGCAGGCGGATACAAACGCCACTTGCGGCCAGGTAATAAATCTAGAGACGCCCAAGCGGTTGCAGTCTTCCCAAGTCGAGCCTGAGGGGTGAGCGGACCAGGCCTCTCCGGCCTCCTCCGCGTTAACTCCTCGCGTTTGATAAATTAACCCAAGTTTAAACGTTTTGCAACAATCGAGTGGCAGCGCGGCTTATTTGCGTCGCTGTCGTCTCACCGCCGTTACTTTGTCACTTAAGAGCCTTTTTGTTTTAGCATTTTTTTGGAACAAGGAATTGGACGGAGGCCTCCAAACAGAGGCTTGTGCGTGCCAGCCACGGGCCGTTACGTGGAGGTGTTCGAAAACGAGCACAGCGGCAGCGCGAACGGGCGCACTCTTAGCGCAATTGTGTTCGGCGACTTTGTACGCGGTAACGTTTCGCGTCGTTGAAGAAAAGGCGATTTGTGTGTGTTTTTTTTATATAAATCTAGAGAGTCTCGAGTCCCTTTAAACCGATTGGGGTTCGCGGCGCGGCCGCCATTGCGAGCCGAACGTAAACACGGCAAGTACAGTGCACGCACTGTCCTCTCGCCTATCCACTGCTGGATGCCTCGGGCTTTTGCGCATCGTGTGGGTTATTTTGTTGGCCGTGCCACACTCACGTCGTTCTTTGCGGGTTGTGAAGTACACATTGGTCTCTTGCCTTTGACGAAGGAAAGTGACTTGTTTACACGAGTTTGTAGAGGGGTATGTGACCTTATAAGTACGTGTTAACGTCCATGCTTATTAAAGGATTCTCCTTTAAGATGCCCTTGCAGTGTATGTCCATTTTAGCGTGTGCGTTATTTTGATTAGGTATGCATATCCCTTTATGAGTTTACAGCATGTGTAGTTTTTGTGCCCCGTTAAGTGTTAGAGTTTAGTGTATTTGAGTTGCTTATTTAACAATGGATGTAACTTTTAAAGACTGCGATTTGTTGACCAATGAGGCTGCTAGATTTCAATGCAGCCCATGGACTATATTATATCGTAACGGAACAGTAAATGTGGGCCCATGTCCTTGACACCAGGATCTACTGTGGAGCTGACCTGCCCAATGACCACCGGCTTATCATTACTAAGATGCGTCTGACATTCCACTGCGGTGGTGGGCGTTCACCTAGGACCGCATTCAAACCTGGTGTCGGCTAGCTGATGAAGGGTTGCAAGCAAGATTTCCATCATTTATTAATACGGCGCCAACAGTTGTAGTTGTTAATTTCGACATGTACAAATTTCATTCCCAACTATACGATTAATTTGTTTCCCAGAGGAAATTAGATTCAAATATGTATCCTGAATACAACGGCCTCTTGGCAAGTGAGGGCCACGTGTATCAAGTACAGTATTTATAGTCTACATACATTTCCTTAGGCTGAATGGTAAATTTTTCTTAGCGTGGTTTGAATACTATAATATAGAGTACAGTGTATAATTCGGCGGCTTTAGCCTTGTTAAGCTAAAGCTAACATCGCCATCGGCCGTTGTCAATTCACAGCTGGATTTAGGCCACGCCACCTAGCACCTATATACGAGTTGTTTTAATAGTTAATTTATTAAGATAATACGCTTTACGCTTGATTTGCGAATGATTTTGTTTAACGCAATGCGCAGTGCTTGTGATGCAATGCCCCCCCAACTCGGCTTTTGCAACACGCCGTGTAAATATTTCAGTTGTGTTACGAACGTAGGGGAATACTAAACCCTCAATTGTTATTCATGCTGTTGTCACTTTTGCACACCAATGTGTGCGAATTTGAACAGAGTAGCTTAAAACATTTATTTAAAAGTTGTGCTCTGAACTTGCATTATCCAGTAACCTCCCCCCCCGTTGGGTTTTAAACGCCAGAAAAATTGTCAATGTATTGATTGAACAGCCTTTCGGTCAATGGAAAGGACATCAAATGTATACGTATTTCCAAAAACGTTTCGTCCTACAAAAAGAGGATACAAATGTACATATTTTGTAGAATAAAGCATTTTTAGGAGGCAGTTGAGTAAAAAACAAGGTGCACGTGTAACGGATCTCCGTACAGGTCCCATTTTGATACTGCCAACAAGGTCCCAGGTCCCATTTTGGACGCATTGTGTTTGATACAACGGGCCTATTGGACGGAACACGTTTTCAGCCCCGCTCTAAGTTACGTACCCAATGTCCTTATCCAGTCTATTCAAATCGCATTGAGGGGCGGAATTGTGATGCAAAGTTGTGCGAGGTAGGTTGGCAAAAAGAGTAACTCTGGGAACGTTGTTTGACAAAGGACCAGTGGCGCCACTTGGGGGTGTGCGGTGTTAGCATATTTACTTATGTATGTAGAACGTCTTGCGTGCACCGTATGTAGCCAATTGTGCTAATTAGAGGTGCGGGAGACGGACGAAAAACTAAAACACAAACATAATTGATTGCTAATTATTACTTTGGGGGGGCCCTTCATCCAGCAGTGTACTGGTCATAGTTGATGATAGTGTTTATATACTCACCATATACCCAAGAGAATAGGGCAGGATAAGTAAAATAACATGACAAAATAGTTTAACCAAACATTGCTGACTAGATAAGTAATTTATGGTGATGACTGGTATGTCTCTTTACACATGCCGTGCATTTGTTTTAATGCTTCTCATCCTCGCCGTGTTTTACAGGAGGGAGCTATGGCGTCGACAAGTGCACCACCGAGCACGATGGTGCCGGAGAGCACCGGACCACCCAATCCCAACTGCAAGATAATGACGTTTCGGCCGACGCTTGAGGAGTTCCACAACTTCCCGCGCTACGTTGCCTACATCGAGTCGCAGGGCGCGCACCGCGCCGGGCTCGCCAAGGTACCCACCCAGGAAGTTGCCCCCCCCCCTCCCCCCAGCCTGAGTTGAGCATGGATTGCTATGTCCTCCATACGTACATTTAACTTTTTTCGCACCCTATGTAGCCACCTGTGCTAATAGGAGGTGCGGGGAAGGACAACAAACGTAAACACACTGAGCAGTTCTAAAGAAATTCGTTTTCAGTTTAGATTTAAAAGTGCATAGCTCCAGTAGCTTCCTAATATTGAAAGGAAGTGTTCCAGATGGCTGCAGAAGCAATCTAACACAACAATTGTTGTCAATCAGGAATCACTATGCTGGTCTTTTAAAAATGCATTATTCTGTTAATTACATAAGCTAAATCAGAGTTTACATTTAGCTAGAGGTTGGATCCATGAATTGAGTTTGGACACAATAAGAACCTCATTACCCTTAAGTCGATGTGCATATTATCTCCTATGCATAAAAATGCAAACTCTCCTTGTGCTCCATTAAATCCATTACCTGACATCACTGACTACCCAACTTCAACTACCAAAGCTTGAATATTTTCTTAAGAGTGCTAGTCAGCCAATATGTTCAGATTTACCTTTGATGATGGTGACAGTGCAAATACTGCACATGTCATATGTATTAACTGTCCGCTCTGTCTTATAATAACAATATACACAGGAAAGCCTCTCTAAGTATTAAGACTTTACATTGTTCCCAATTTCATTAATTAGTGGCAAATGGTAGTACTTACTAAATCCATAAAACCCACACATGTTAGGAAATAACACTCAAAGCTGTGTGTTGATTCCTGTATCCATTACTAAAATGCCATCTGGACACCATCCGGCGCAAGCCTTAATCATGTGGTATTCCCAGGCAGTCTTCCATGTTAAGTACTAACCAGACCTGCTTATCTTGCAAGATCTGATGAGATTAGGCACATGTTTATTTTTGTCAAAGGCAAGGTAATGTTACTTTTCAGAGTGGTGATTTCTAACATTTTCTTCCATTTACCTATAAAATTAAGGCATAATACAAGGCAATGAATGAAGATGTTATGTTGTGCTCTATGGCGTGACTGTACAGTTGGACACACTTAATATAGCTCTAATGTCCTGGGATTAAATGAGCATCACTTGGGATAATAAAATGAGCTTGTGTGCTTTTTCCATTCTGCCCAGCCTGTTGTGCCCAGTAGATTTTAGTTAATTGCATGGAAATGCATCCCTTCACATACATAGGATATCTGCCAATTTAATCAAAAAGAGTTTCTTGTATTTCTGGTCACCCTCAATTTCACTAAACATCAAATTTCTGTGATTTTTATCCACAATTTTCGAAATGACATTGAATTTATCATGGTTTTACTTTGCTAGAAATTGTGTTTTTTACTCGATACTTTAGAAATAATACTGTAGACCAGGAGCCCACAATTCAAATTATGCTGCGTTTTATTGGTAGAATGTCTGAAGTGCAGTCTGCCAATATAAAACACAGATGAAGTGGTAACTTATAAAGAACGATATATTTCACTGCACCAACACATATAAACCACCAATATTGGTAAAAACTGATAGCATATCACTGTGGTATAGTGGTTGTGACAATCACTCAAGCACTGGCTTTTAAACTGTACACCACATTGTACCACAGTGCAGACCTCATGCATGTATGCAATATATATTTGGATGTTTCTGTCCGTTAATTTTGTCACGTGCACTTTTTTCAAGGATTTTAAAAACAGTAATGATAATTCAGATAATTGGGTGTGCTAATGAAATTAAAAGGAATTGTCATCGAGTACCAAAGAATTGTGTTTTAAACATTTGGTAGTGTTATAGTGGTGAATTTTGTCAGTGACAAATAGAGGGTGTGCAGTGTTCAGTTACTTGTT